ATGTCAACTCTAATAATAGCTACCCCACCGACAACCTACAGCGCCTAGCCATGACTGGGCTCCTCGCTACGTTGGCAGTACAAACAACAAACAAGTGGCAAGATAAAGAGCACTCCAGTTGAAGAACAGGCCTTACCTTAGATTCCAGGAGCTCCGGAACAGTGAACATGAAAGTTAGGTTAAAAGTGAGAAGGGCAACACTATTGTTCACTATTGTGACAGTCTTCTTCATAGTTTGTCCAACAGACAGCGCGCCCAATCTGACCACTTTGCTGGGCGGTTCCAAGATGTCGATCTGTGGTCAGGAGAAGAACAACAGGATGGGGAAGTTGCGAGCATCAGTAACGAGGGAATGGGGGAAAGGGGAAGGAGAATGGCAAAGGGTGGATGACTGAGGAAAGGAGAAAGAAATTCACTCTGACTGTGTGATATATGGAGCTAGAGAACAGTGGTCTGATCTCACCTTCATCTCCGTGCCCTTCCCCAGGACCTCAATGGTCTGTTGGGAGAGCCCATTGATTTCAAAGGGGATGATATCGTGGTAGGAAACGGCCTCTCGGGGATAGAAAGTGATTGGCACCTCCATCTTCCCTCCAGGACTCAGCACTTCAGCCTGGAAGCTCACCTCCAAGTGGGCAGTGTTGGTGTACAAGCAGTCTAAGCTGTGGAAGGCCAGAAAAAAACCCTTTTGGAATGTTTGGCTGGTGAATGTTCAGTAGCTGAGAGCTGTCCCCCATCCCGCTTTGACCGTATCCATTTTTTTTTATCCAGAGGAGTTGCCAGTGGTCCACCCAGCTCTGCTAGCTGTGCATACTGAGACAAATCCAGCCTGATGACAACAGACGCTGGGTCTGCTTAATGCCAGCAGGGTTGAATTGGGTCTGTTCTGATGAACATAACCCCAAAGGGAAGTAAATATGGGCATCTTCAGATCATCCTGGGGGAAAACACCTGGCAGGACTCCCCCGGCTGAATGCACCTCTTTCACACAGGTCAGTGATTGAAGGCACCCTCTTAGCTCACATGAAAACAGAAAAGAGGGTCTCTCACCTAGGAAAATGGGTCCTTTTCTGTGTGATTTATGTGCCTATTAGGTAATTTGGAAGCTGACTACAGAAGCACCTGCCCTCTCGCCCTAGGAAAATGGCCCAGCGGCGAGGGTGCTAGATAGGGACTGGGGAGACATGGGTTCGCTTCCCTCCTCTGCCATAGACTTCCTGTGTGACCTTGGGCATGTCACTGAGCCGCTCTGTGCCACAGTTCCCCCATTTGTACAATGGGAATAACAGCACCACCCTGGTTCATGGGGCATATGCATAGCAATGGTCAGGATTTCTTTGATAAAATGGTTTTCTGTGGGAAAATTCTGATCGGTCCTGGGAAAGGGTTGGTCTCCATGAAATGTTCATTGGGAAGGTTTATCAAGACCAGGATGGAATTTCTGGCCAAATCCAGAGACAGAGACTCTCCCCCCAGAATAGCCAATAGCCCAGTGACTAGGGCGCTCATCTGCGATGTGGGAGATCCATGCTCAAACTCTGCACTCTCGGACTTGGACCAGGGAAGGAGCTAACATGGGGAGCTAGTGTCCCACTGCTGCCCTACCTAATCTCCTTGGCCTCCTTGTTTGTGATGGTAAGGATGTGTCTGGCAAGGGGCATCCCAGCATAGTAGATGAAGCAGGTTCCGAAGTCAAACTTGGTAAAGGAGAAGTGGATGGTGGGCATCACCACAGAAGCCAGGAGCATGCAGCTAAACGTGGGCCCGTTGCTGATCTGGGGAGAGAACAGGCCACAAGGTGCCTTGCTGAAGAATTTGCCAGGAAGAGTGACCCAGTGATACCTGGGCTGCATTCACACAGATGCTGCTGCCCTGCAGTGGTGACAGGCCAGAAAAGCTTATGCAGCGGGAACTGAAAATGGGGTGTGAAAAGAGAGATCCCTTGGCTTCATGAGTTAACATTTCAGGGGAATTTCATCACTGGCTTTATACAGATGTTGGTAGCTGTCAGTTTGCAACACAAGCCACAGCCACCAGAGTCTTGCTCCCCAGCAGGTGTCTAACAGGAAGGTCCCTGTAGACGCCGTGTCAGTGCCCCTAGGTACTATGGTGGAATCAGACTCTGCTTTTGGTGGGCGCCATCCGCTACCTTGGATGGTCCCAGGCCTGCAGCTCGTCATACATTCAGCTCAGCTGCCCAGGGTGGATCCAGGTGGGGTGCCCCGTTTTTCAGTGTGAGTTCTAATTCCGGCTTTGCTCTAGCAAGCTCTCCCCTGCCAAAAGGGTTTGCCTGGCTTTTGTGCCCTGCAGGGAGGAGAGCATGACACCCCCGCCCTGACCTTTAGCTTAAGCTCCATGTCCTTTAAGATGCATGTCTTCAGTGGGTGGAAGGTCAGCTGGGCCTGTACTCGCTCTCCTGCCTCCACAGTGCCAGTCTCGGGGGTGATGGAGAGGTAGTGCTGCAGTGCTTTGGGGCCGGAAAACTCCCACGAGAAGCTGAAATTGAACTTGCCAGTGTTCAGGACACAGAAGTTGCGGTGAGCAGATTCGTTTATTTCCACCTGTATGCGGGAGGAGAGCACACACGGGGTTAATACCTGAAGGGCTGGCAAACCCAACATGAATGGACAGAAAACCAAGTCACCTGCTGCCATAGGCAGCCCTTGGGCTCTTACTGCCTATGCAATGCACCACCAAACAGCACACTCCTCAGCGGGGATTGGAGCCAGGCGCACAGGGCCAGGATGCCTGTACATGTCTGTGAACACAGTTCTCTACAGAGCGACAGCTTGGATGGACCACAGCTGCTCAGGACAGGCTTGTCCAGTGAGCTCCGCAGCTGGGAAATGCATGGGGCCTGGTAATGCACTGGCCTACTATGCCGAAGATCCATCGGGCAGCTAGTCCCAGAGTCTCTAACACTTGTTGCTGTCTGTAAGAGGGTCCGGACTCACCCTGCGGTGCCTCCTGCTGGGCCTCCAGGGAATTAGCTCACCAGCCTCTGGAGCGCCCTCTGCAGGCCGGTGATCTGCCTTGTCCTCGTCTCCGGCCTCCGTGTCCCTCCCAGGACCCCGGTGCCCCTTGCCCTGGGTGCTGCCCCCTGGCAATACCCACACACACGCTAGGTCTCCCCTCCCAGGGGAACCCCCACCCACTAACCCCACCTCACCTCAGGTGAAGGCCACGGCCAGTCCCCATCTAGCCCCCACTCTCTGGGGCAGACTGCAGTATAGGCCACTCATCATCGGCAAGGTTGGGTTTGGACCTGCTGCCTTGGCCTAGTCCTGGGCTGCCCTCTGCAACCCCCAGTACCCATGGGCCCTCTGCTAGGCCGCAGCCTGGGACTTTCCAGGCTGGAGCTCCCCAGCTCCTTAGCCTTTCCCCAGCCCTGCTCCACCCAGGTACTCTGTGTCTAGCTCCCTGCAGCCAGGCCCTTCTCTCTCTGAAGGCAGAGAGACTCTTGAGCTCTTGGCTCCCAGCCTCTTTATACCGGCCATCTGGGCTCTGATTAGGGCGTGGCCCAGCTGCAGCCACTTCCCCCAATCAGCCAGGGTTTTACCTTGCCCAGCCCCAGCCCTCTGCAGGGCTTTTCCAACCCCTTAGGGCAGGAGCGGGTGTCCGCCCCGCTACACTGTCTGATAGCACACATACTTGGTTTAAAATGAAATCTGATCCTCACAAAATCATTGTACCAACAGCACCAATGAAAATATATGCAGGGCATGTCTCACCCACCCAACTCTGTGCACATCCATCGTGACCTGCAATATTCCTCTATCTTCATCACTTTTCTTTCTGGGAAGACACCGTCTCGCCCTGTTGGTAGCATGGGATCCAGCAAGGATCTAGCACCATTTACATTATCCTGGGCTCTTCTGCAATTGTGGTGGGCCATGTACAGCTGAGGTGCTAGGCACTGAAGGGCTTGTGAAATGCCTTGCTTAGGGCCTGATCTGAAAGGATTCCTTGGGGTAACGGCTGCTCATGTGAGAAAGGGTTGCCAGGATCAGGCCCTGAGTTTGTTGCTATTTCACTGAAGACTGTGGAAGATTTTCAGAAGTGCCCAATACACTGGGACGTGTGCTCCTAAATCCCTTCTGAAGCATCCCGCTTGGACCCCAGTGCAGCAGTAGTCACCACAGTGACCCTAACCTTCCCCCCCACTGCAGATTGGTCCATCCCTTTTATCGAGTCCTTTCTCGCTGCAGCAGGATTACTTTTCATGCTAGGGATGCTTGGTAGGGAACTTTGGAGTTGCCAGCGTCACAGCGAAGCAGGTGCCATGCAGTATTTCACAAGAGTGGGAGCAAGATATAGCGCCACGAGCGTGCAGAGAACACGTGGACAGTGGGCCTTTGCCTCTAGGAGCTTACAGTCAAAATGGTAGATTGAGGTCTGACTAGATGACAATAATGGTCCCATCTGGCTTTAAATTGACGAGTCTAAGGCAAGACAAAGCAAGTTGGCTGGAAGTGACCATTGGGTGTGGGGTTAGCTGGGAAGGTCTGCACACCAAGAGCAAACTCACTGACAGCTGCCTCAGCAAGGCATGGCAAGGACACTCCCACCAGCCCCAGCCGCGATGGGCAGGGTGGGCGCTCTGCCTGGCGGGCCTGTTTTTACTGCCCCACAGCTGCGTTCTCCTGAGACGATCTCACAAAGCGCCATAGCATGGTGAG